TCTCTTCCTGTCTCAGTTTGGTTCCATCGCTGCTGTCAGCTGTTTGTGTCCAATTTGTCTGAACTCTGTTTCTCTGTCGTCCAGAAAAAGCCAAGCTGAACTTCTACCTGCTGCTGATGAACGGAGTCCGAGTGGTGTTCACCAAAGCTCTGGCCTTCAGCACCGTCCTCACCATCAGAGGCCTGATCTTCTGAAACTCACTGACTTTTTAAAAGCAGAAATTACGTTGAGTAATTTTAAAAAGGAAAGAGAACAATAAAAACTATTAAATATTTAGTTTGCTTTCTTTTTAAAATAAGAAAATGAACATTGTGAAATGCACAGATTTTATAATTTTATAGAAAAAAAACATTTTATTACAGGCTTCTTCATTTCCGTGTTCAAGACTGAACTGAAATTATTCTCAGTACATTTTCCAGTCATTGCATAATGTACATGTTGTTCTATGTCTTTTTAACTGTCAAAAGTCTAACTTTTTTTTTTTTAACTCATGTATTGTTTTCGAATGTGTAAAATATTTGCTGTCATGTTCAGAAAATAATAAATAAAAAAATCAGGCAGATGTCATTGGGTGTTTATTGTGTCACTTTAACTTTATTTCTTAGCATGTTGAAAAAATGACAGATAATTATACGTGTATAACATATTTATATAAATTAGAGAAACCAAGACAGCAATGAAATTCTCATCAGTTGAAACCACGTTTGAACAGGAAGTTAAAGCTGTCGATGCAAATCTGCCTGAAACCAGATAGCAGCTCGGTTTCACGTCAACAGAGAACGCTTTGGTTAACCTCAGCCTTGCTTGTTTTTTTCCTTTCATACAAGTTTACATGCATATTTGAGTGATTAGATCTTTGCTTGCAATGAGTCAATATTCTGTTCAAAGACATTTTTCATGATGTGTCGATAAAACAAGAAATAGTGGCAATAACCATATGACATTTGTGAAAATTTGTAAATGAAGACACACAAAGCAAGATGTGAAAAAAAAAACATCAGAAAATGTTGCATTATAATGAACAGATGTTTTCTTGAGATGCTGCGTTTTACAAAAAGAAAAAAGAGGTTTTCTTCTTGGGTTTTTTGTCTTCAGCAATTGCAGGTGTCAGCTGCAGTTTCTGTAAATCACATAGCATAAATATAGTTACTGAAGAAATCACTAAAATGAAACACATCTGATAATAAACGAAAGCTTAATGATCTGAAAAGCCAACACCCCAATGCTACGATGACAAAGTCAGATGCCAAAGTGTGGAAAGTATAAGTCAGTTTTAGAGCTTTGAGGATCGAGTCAACCAAAGTGTGAGCCGTGATCCACAAGTACAGGAAATATTCTAACAAGGAGAGTTTGGCCTACCAAAGTTACTCCAAGAGAGGAACAGCAACTCATCAAGGAAAACACAAAGTAGCTCAGTCCAACTGTATTTTTTTCACAAAATTGCCCCTTGGCAAGAACATCTAGAAGCACTTCACACTTCACTTACCTCAGTCAGTGTTCACAACTCTATAATAAGAAAAAGACTGGGCATAAATTGATGTTGATATAACGTTTTGTTTGGTTATTACATTACATTCAGAATGGGTTAATTTCCTCAATAAAGAAAAAAATACATATTTTTTAAAATTTTTACTTGAAACTTTAGGATATAAAAATGCTAGCTCAGATTTTCGCCTGTCAAGATGATATTGTGTTTTTTAATGTTATGCAAAGTGAGCCAGCTTCTCCATCACTCAGCTATAAAAAGTGACTCAGAACTCCAGCTGAGCTCATTTAGTTTTGACCCTACAGGATGTGTCGTCTAGCTCTCCTGCTGCTGCTGGCAGCTCAATGTGAGTCTCTCTGGGTTTCAGCCATATGTTAACTTTCAGCTCAACATTGTTCACGAAAAACACATTTTTAACTCTTTCAACAGATGTGAGGTGTGAGCAGCTGACGCAGCCAGCCTCGCTGACTGTGCAGCCAGGTGGCCATCTGACCATCAGCTGTCAGGTCTCTTATTCTCTGAGCAGTGCCCGAACGCACTGGATCAGACAGCCTGCCGGTAAAGGACTGGAGTGGATCTGTAGTGCACACGTTGGGCATGACACATTCTACAAAGAGTCAGTGAAGAACAAGTTTAGGCTCGACTTAGACCAAGCAAGTAAAACAGTGACTCTGAAAGGACAGAATATGCAGCCTGAAGACACAGCTGTGTACTACTGTGCCAGAGAGCCGCACACAGAGACACAGACCATCGCCAGATCTGAACATAAACCCCTCAGTGCATGAAAAACAACATTTTTAAGCTGAAAATGCTAAATTATTGTCTGATGAACGATTTTACTTTCAGTGAGCCTTGTGAAGATTTTTAATTTCGATCCATCAAAATGATCCCCAGAACAAATCAGCATGTCTGCTCCTGCTTGTTGACAGCTCATGTTAAATCTCCACTTCCTCATATGATTTGGATGGATGGAAATGTGCAAGGAATTTGTGAAGCTGAAGTTTTAGAGCACTAGATCTCCAACACATATACATGCTGTCACATGTGATTTAAAGAAGTTAGAAATAAAGGAATAACAATGAACATAAGTCGCTTATAACAAACAATATTATTTACAGACAATGCTGTTTCCTTCAACATATGAAGACATGAATGCTGACGGATTAGCTCTTGGAATAATAAAATGCACAATAGGGGGTGAAAAAAATGCAGAAAATAAATCACCAGAAGAAACGCTTGAAAATAAGAAATACCTAATTCATTCACAATGTCAAATAATTAGCTCATTCTAATTCATTGTGTTAATTTTTGTGTGAGTGGCTGCTTTGGCTGCTTTGCAAAATCAAAACAATCATGAGAACACAAATAAAAGTCCTAATTTAGTATTGTTGTGATGAAAAATTGCTGACCATGTCCTCATCTTGCTGCAGTTAGACTTTATCTGCGACCATAAAAATTCAGCGACAAATGTCTCTTTATGAGGTAGAAAATTGTTTATACACTGTAACATTTCGTGTAATTCTTAGGTCTAACTCAGAATGGGTTGTTTGTAATTCAGCAAAGGATAAACGACATTTTTTAGATGTCAACTTCAGTATTATTTTTATTATTACGAAAATAAGACTTAAGAATAAGAATTTCACCCGTCAAGCTGACATTGCTTTCTTAATTTTATGCAAACTGAGTCAGTTCCTCCCTCATTTGGCTATAAAAATGCCTCAGAAACCCAGCGGGCCTCATTTAGGATTTACTCTACAGGATGTATCATTTAACTCTCCTGTTGTTGTTGTTGGCAGCTGGATGTGAGTCTCTCTGGCTGCCATAAAGCACCAGATGTTAATTTTATACGAAATATCGTTTACAAAGTAATATGTACTTTTTCTACAGATGTGAGGTGTGACCAGCTGACACAGCCGGCCTCTGTGACTCTGCAGTCGGGTCAGACGCTGACCATTAGCTGCCAGGTCACCTATTCGTTGGATCAGCGTCACACTCACTGGATCCGACAGTGGGAAGGAAAAGGCTGGGAGTGGATCGGAGCTGATCGAGTCGGATACAGCTCGTATTACAAAGATTCTCTTAAGAACCAGTTCAGTATCAGCTTATACTCTTCAAGCAAAACAGTGACTCTCAATGGACAGAACATGCAGCCTGACGATACTGGTGTGTACTATTGTGCCAGATAGTCACACTGATATAAAACACCATGAGAGGTGTACAAAAACCTCCTCAACCTTCTGCATGTGTCGCATGCAGCCACTAGAGGGGGATCTAGCACATTATACAGACTTAGCACAGAACATCAGAAATAATACAAATCAGCAGTGCAGATTTTTTATAACTTCATCTGTTTTATAAAATGAAAACAACTAACAACCTGAAAATGTGATGGAACTGTGACAAATTATTTCAACAACCATAAAATTTCTTTATGTATGCTTGGTTTGTTTAAATAAACAGACATCACATTGTTTTCTTCATTATGACCTAAGCCTGCAGGAGTTTGAAACTAAATAAGGCTCCTTCATGTTATTAGTAACAAACCTTTTCAAGAGAGGTAAAAAAAAAAATAATAATAATAATAAAATATCTTTGTGATATTTTTACTTACCTGTAACAGATTTATTTCTTGTTCCATACAAATTCAGAAAAAAGAAAACATTACTGTCTGCATGCAAGGCACACTTTGTTTTCTTAAAATACTTATTTTAGTTACAAAGAGTTTATTTCTACTATAATAAGTAGCAGAAAACACATAAGAGTAATACAAAGTGATAATGTCTTTGCAATGGGCAAATGTTGCAGCATTTATGAAGATCTCTAGAGGGCGCTAACAACCTTTGTAACAAACAGACACTAAAATTTAAGAAAAAAAAGACTTAAGCAAACAGAGAAACCTCAACAGATTACCTTACCTGGAAGAACTCATGATTTCTCCTCCATAAAGTTTAAAGATTAAAAATCAATCAATAAATCAAATACTACGCCTTCATCAGCAACTGGCTTTTTTGCTTTATATTGACATCATCCTAATAACCACAATGTTAAACAAGTTATATTTAACCTCATACTCAGTCAAATGAAGTGACAAATCATCAGAGTTACCAGCAGTCTGGAGTCCTCCCTTCACTTGATTTGGGGAGGAGTTTATGCAAAATGGTCACTGCTATTTAATGAATGGATGAAGAAAGAGAACTGTGGACAAAAGCAGTGTACTATAGCAGGATGGACAGTAAAATATGTATACTGCTGGCAATAGCCATCTGCTGGAAAGGTAAAGAGTAATGGAAACATTATCACCTTAAAGCTAGAGTCTAATGCCTGCTTGCATTGTGTTTTATTGTGATTTTTAAGCCATAATTTCATAAATTGGAAATAGTTTTAATAATCTTTGTAGTCATGAATCTTTTATTTTGCTTGTTTATGTCTTTTTGACAGGTATTGATGGTCAGACTTTGACAGAATCTGAACCAGCAGTAAAAAGACCAGGAGAATCTCACAAACTGACCTGCACAACGTCTGGAATCTCATTCAGCAGCTACTGGATGGCCTGGATCAGACAGGCTCCTGGGAAAGGCCTGGAGTGGATTGCAATTATTGAATATGACAGTGTTAGAAAGTTTTACTCACAGTCAGTCCAAGGCCGGTTTACTGCCTCCAGAGACAACAGCAGAGAGCAGCTGTATCTGCAGATGAACAGCCTGAAGG